CGGTTAGCACAGGACACTTAGTGTGGCATTTTTTGAAATCGAAGAGACCGCTTTCGGTGGCCGTACTACGTAGAGAAGAAGGCGAGGAAAAAAGGTAGAAACATTCCCAAAGTCAGACGTATACAATCTATCATCGCTGCTTCACCTGTGAACGGAATGACCTGAATCTCTAAAATCCTGGGACCTATATTTATGTTTTTCTTCTCTTTCCACAAAAACATAGCAGATTTGCAAGTGGGTATCACAATGGTACCGGCAAATGGAATGCGAGACGAGATGAGTGAAATGAGCGACAAAGAAGAAAACGCCAAGGTTCGGGGTAAAATAGATCAAAATCATTGCATCCACCAAATTTACCGAGCAGGTGCCGAAAATAAAATCACAGCTCTTGGTGAAACTTCACTTCGGACTGCTCGATACTATTCACCACATTCGATTCGAAAAAATGTTCAAAATTTGAGATAGCATATAGCCTTATCTCCGTCGAAGAGCTTCTTCTATTAACGGACAATACCGACGCATGGTACAGACGCTACCTGATAATGCCCGTTATGTATGTTCGTGAAAAGTCATTTTAATAATCAGTTGCCCATCACTTTTTTCGTAACCATGGATATGACAAGAACTCACCGATTTCGGCGTTAAATTTGATGACCTCCCCGAGATCGCCATAGTTAGTGAAGTCTCCAGCATGGATCAGCACATCTCCATCAGGGATGGCTGGCAAAAACTGAAAGGATAGATCAGTAACGAAGTATAAAGTGTACGACCAGAGCTTGGACAAGTATTGATAATTTTCTGAAGATCTTCTTCTATAGACTCTGCCTCTGTGTGGATGTTCAGAAAAGAAAAGCTTGTGAAGCGCCCATTTTATATTTCCCCTGGACTGCTGATCATATTTGCATTCTCCAAGGCAAATTTGTAAGTTTTCTCCCAGTAAGACTGTTGTTGCACTTTGTAACGCCTCACCAGGGTGAGCAAAGTGACAAAGGAACACAAATGAAGAACCACATGGCCCCAGTGGATCGTCTTTCGTCCACACGCTGTAATATTTACGATGGCCGTTACCAGTGAAATTTCAGAGGACCTTGAGATTTATCCATTACTCAAGGCCTGTCCCAGACAAAATTGCGGGAGTTTCCCGGGTGCGATGCTTATCTTGAGATCTCGATTATTAGAGGCACAATCCAGGCAGAAGTCGTGTTTCCTTCGCTCTGTAGGATTAACCTCTAGAGGACAATCACAGATGTGGCACTCCCGTGCATGGAAATCACCCGACAAGGGCGCTAGGGCCTTGCAAAGTAGCTGCAGCAGCTGCAATGTTCCCGCCGCAGCAGGCTGTTGTCTGGCATCCTCTCAGCTGTTGCACTCTCTCACCTCACACTTTCCTTTCCGCAATAATTCTCTCATTGCCTAAAAGTAACAACTCCAGATCTAATTGATGGGAGTACATTCGGTCGATAATGAAATTGTGGATGCCGAGTTGACTGAAAATCAAAAAAGAAGCAAAAGAACCGCCAATGAAGCCTGGAGCAAAGATTCCCCTCTTTCCCTTAGCACCCCCCTCCAGGAGTCCCCCCGACGCTGGAAAAAAATAAGGAAATGGGCGGGCGGGACGGGACGAGTTGTACGAACTTTTTGCTTGCCGGCATTTGCTGTTGGCTCCAGGATAGCAACAAGCAATCAAACTAACGAAAAGGGAGTTCAAAAACGAAACATGCAAAGAGGTTGGTAATTAGACGATTAGGCATTTAAACCGTCGCAAACCGGACACCATTTCTTCCATCCCGGCCCCAGCTTACACGTAACCACACAAAGTCACGCAGCCACCCGCGTGATCTTCTCGGCCAGCAAATGAGCGTGTTGACCAAAAGGCGGACGGACCAGAATTGGCACCAATTCAGCCTCTATTAGCGGTTTTCCAAGATCAGTTTCTACGTCGTTGTGTTCGACACTTCATGTCTCCTCGACTAGGGCTAACAAATCCTTTCACTATTTCTAGCAAAAGTATGGACCCATGTAGGGTTGTTGCTTCAACACAGCCGCTCCACGAAAGTAAGTAAACCCCTAACCAAAGCGATTTCAATAGATTCCTTTCCTTTATTGGCACAATCGGCCCGCTTCGTACCAGGGTCTTCGTATTCGTGTGCGGAAACCTCACTAGCTTGATCTTGGGACACGCCTTCAAAGAATTCCGATTTCAATAACTGACCTCATCTAATCTTTCGTGTGTATCAGAAATACAGACGAATCTGACTTTGTTATCGAAGACCGGAGTGTCAAGCCTAAAGTCATCAAATTATATCGTGAATGCTTCACAATTCCATCGCCACTTGCAGCAGAATAGAATAGAAGTAGCACTCGGAATATCTTTATCATAAACAACCTGTCTAAGGAGGAGCTGCTTACCTCAGTGTTTTAGCCGGTTCCGAGACCCGTCCCTGTCGTCGGTACTTTTTCCAGCAGTCAATAGGCCTGCTTGAAAGCGGATCCACACAAATATAGTTGTCCATTGCCCACCTAAGGGGTTCTAGTCGGCTTCGATTCGATGGCAATCACCCTAGTGAAGTCTTGAGGATGTCCGAGTAAAAAATCAATTTACCCCGGTCGAGACGGCTGAAACAACTAGTGTTTGATTCTGATGATCAAAGAAATAACGCAGTTCACCAGAAGAACGGAAAGGAGGTGGTGGAAACAGAACTGAGCAGCTGATTGATCATAGAACAGTCTTTCAGTTTTTTTGATACCTTAGGAGCAATATTCAACCACCACGATAATATGTTTACCAGAACGTTTGATGGGATCCGGTCCGCGAATGATGATTCAGTACAAATGCGAAAACCTGTCTAGAAGTACTGAAGAACATGCAATGTTATAAAAAGACCCTCATCTGATATGTTGCAGAGGACTTTGATTACAGAAAAAAAAGAAACTCAGAAAAATCACGTGGGGCTGACTCACTCACGTGAGATGTGGTCATGATAATGTTTCCCACAGTGGGTCACTGAAGGTTTGAGGGGAAGGTCATCATTTGGGTGATAATGACAATCGACGTCAGTTTGATGGTATAAGATCGAGACTCACACATAGCAAGGCAACAGCAAAGGAAAACAATGGGTAAAAGGATCGCCCACAGAAAAGTAAAGATTGATCTTCTTAGGTATGCTTTTGAAGCCACAAGCCAAGATGAAACAGGAGCCTCACTCGGCTAACGTTTCGGACCTTTCCGCCTTGTCAGAGCCTGGAAAGTCAAAGATCAGTGCGACCTACCGCAGACATCATTTCTAACTTAGTAATAGCCCCCTGACTTTCCAGGCGCTGATGAAAGGAGGAAAAGGCCGAAACGTTAGCCGAATAAAGCTTCTGTATCATCTTGGCTCGTGACTATGAAAGCAAACTCTACCTAGGAAAGGATGATGGGTCGAAGTGGCCATATGCAATGAGACCTACACTGTGGATGCGTTTTTGGACGCTGATCTCGAATCTGCTTTCCAAATCTGCCAAATCGATTTTCCTGAACGGAGTTATGAAGCAAAATAGAGCAGCGGTAGTGGTCCGGCTCACGGCGAGAGGTCGTAGGATCGATTCCCTGACGAGTGAGTTGGCTACAAATCTGCTCCTAATGGTATTCTTATCTACGGAACAGAAATATCGGCAGTTGTTTTGAAGTAACGCACAAATTTGTTAGAAACTCCTCGCAGGCTATTTTTACGGGTGACTATGGCAAGCGTTGATAAGTAACGTGTTTGGAACCTATTCCAGTCATGCTGTCGCGTAGGGAAAAGTGGGATCCCATCAGGGAATCGATCCTTCGACCTCCCGCCCGTTAGCTCGGAAAACTACCGCTGCTCTATTTTGCTTCATAACTCCGTTCAGAAAATCGATTGGCAGATTTGGAGAGCACATTCGAGATCAGGGCCCAGCATCACATCCATCAGTATAGGTCTCAGTGCTTGTGGCCATTTCGACCCATCATCCTTTCCTGAGGCCGGGTGCAGCAAGCCCCTGCGAGGGGAGGATTGGGTCCCCAAAACTCTGCTCTCTACTCCATATGATGACGTAGTCCCCCTGTTTGAGAATAAGGGATGGGTCCCGAAATGCAGAGTTTTGGGGGCCCCTCTTCTCGTTGGGGCTGGCTGCACCCAGCCTCTGGTTGGAAGAATACCACACTTGCGTGCTAGAAAGATTGATCGCTTCGCTCCTTCTACAGATAAAAAATGACAGTAACCTCGTTAAACATGAAGGCTAATCGGTGAACACACGTTTGATGAAATCAAGAAATGGGCGTGGGAATGACGAAAATACAGCTAAAATTGGCACACTGAAAACATTCAGATCGGAATGCAATGACTTATCGAAATTCATCAAATGAGAGTGATTAGGTTACCGCAAAAGGCGCTCATACCACGCACATAGACCGGGGGTCAAATTTCGGATCAAATCAGGACCGCAACAACCAAGCTGGTATCAGAATAAATTAATAAAATAAGCACTAGGCACCTTTGCAATTATCATCGGAAACCAAAATCAACCAAAATAAATGAATTGATCAGCTGTGAACGTTTTTTTGTCGCATTGTGTCCTCTTGTCTTTCAATAAGAGGTTTCAGATTAGGTTTACCTTTGGAGGACTCAGTTTTAGTAGAGACAAGTATGGAAGTCTGCTTTTTGCTGCTCATAATAGCCGCACGATCCTCTTGACGATGGTCAGTGCACGTCCATGGCGATCTCCGCGAATTGATGCCTCGCATTTCACTATTAGCTGTTCTCGAAAACGGTCATCCCCTGTCCTCATATCTGCTGATACCTCTTATCGCTAGTGATACAATCGCGTGGCCGAAATCCTCATAAGGGTTGGTGCATGTCATGTCGTTGAGTCACGGCGCGACGAGCGCAAATTTTCGGCGCACTGCGCGGCATGCTTACGCAGCAATTTTTTGAGTTACATCCCTTTTTCCTCTTCTGCCTCATACCTGCCTGAGCGGTCCACCTGGGCCAAATTGGCGTTTCCGTGGATTCCCACGCTGAACGGACGCCTCAAATGAATTGCGGTGCAATTTTGCGGTGCACGGCACGCATTAAGTGTGTACGTCACTGCAAAGCGAATTAACGATAGGTACAGAACCTGATGGCGCGCATTTTTGTTCCTGGAAGTCACAATTGACAGATACCAGCTGCGCTCAACAAGGAAGAATACGAGCCTAACACGAGTCACCCATTCGAAAAAAGTATCCACGTAATCAAAAAAGGAAAGGGGAGTCGTTAAACATTTGGAATACAGTGTCATGACTCCGTTTATGATGTTTTTTCCCTGTGCTCCGCCCCACGCCTCTACGGGTACTTAAGCAGCTCGGAGGCGGTAGCAGGGTTCCTATGTAGCACTCTGTCGGCAATAGTCTTCGAGCGGCGGAAACCGCTTGCCTGTTCTCATCTACCTATCCTTGGGCTGAGCCTCGGGCGGGAGGACCTGTAGCGGCGAAGGCAGTAATGCCCGGCGCACGAGGAGGATCAGCTCTCACCAACTACAAGTGGGAAACCCGCTTGGGAGGGTCAGGGTGAAGTCGGTCAAGCTTGATGTCAAGGAAAGGTGAAAGTCAATTTATCAAATGTTAGTCAGTCTAGGAAAAGTGTGGTGCTCAGTACGACCGTAGTAAAAGAATAAAGTGTCTTTCATGAAGTGTGCTGTGATTGAAAGAGAAATTGGTGATGCCCTCAGAACATAGTACAGGATCAAAGCTGAAGTGCTGTCGTCTTTTCAGAAGACGTTGCCATGAAATTTGGTCGGTTGGGATATTGCTATGGTGGAAGTGAACAAATAAATAAAAATGTGTTCCAAAAAATGAATATATAAGGAACGAATCAGAAAATAAAAAGAAAATAAAAAGTGAATAGACAATTTCAAATTCAGGTCTCAAACTCAGGGTCAGTTCTTGTTGATCGCATCCTTATGCTTTTAACATTCACATGTAGGTAGTTATAAAAAAAATGTAGTAAATCATAGAGTAGAGCAAAGGTTGAAGCATTCGTATAACTTCTTTTTGGGATAGGCCGCGGCATTCCGTTTCTTTCAGAACACGTAATACTATTTTGTCTGCTATTTGGCTGTGCAAATGGAATTCATGTGTCGGCTCATGCCGATTAGTCTGTTTTGATCTACGCAAGTCAGATATCCCACAATTTCCAATCGTACAATAAAGGCTCGTTGGCTCAGATACATCTAAGATTTGGTCGCTCAGGTGAGTAAACAGCGCTATTTGTTACTGTATTACTTCGATTTGCTGGCCAACGCTGAAGAAAATAGATTTCTAAAATATCATTCTGCAGCAGTGAGCAATGAGGAAGTGAGCGACCAGGAGGCCTTCCATCGTTTCTGAAAGTATTCAGTAGCAAACAAACTTTAAGTGATTTCCCACCGCTACAAAGGTAAAAACACTAACGAGTTATGGCAAGATGGAATGCTCGAGTCGAATCGAACATTTATGGGCACGTCGATATTTAACCCTTTAAACCCTAATTGATCGTTAATGTGGGCCTGTTCTGAAGCCATGAGGTAAAACGCTTTCGTGTGAGAAGGGGAGGCCTTCAAAACGATGGCAAATATGAAGGTCAAAGTATACGCCTTGATCAAATCTCATGAGGATACGCCCCACTGTACTACATTAACACGCAAAGTTTCGATTGAGAAGTACAGAAAAGATTTTGAAGGAGTTTTTTTGGGCTTAAGGAAAAAGAATGTCGCGTTCTTCTATACAACGTCAGCCATAACACCCTAAAATTACCACACCATTTCAGAGAGCAAGCGCATGGTAGCTCACCGCTGCTAAGTAGAGAATCCCTCCATTGTCTACGGATGCAGGTGTGTTCGGTCGAAGAACTCCATCGGACAGGGGGGTCGTATTTGTCAAGGTGGGTCGGGGGGGGGTTAGTAACGTCGGTGCCATCGTGGTGCAGATAGGAGGGATAGGGGGTGGCGCAGTAGAAAACACAGGCATCACCGGCAATGCTATACAACTACCTTTGCAGGTTCAGATCCCTCGTATTCCATTCCGAAAAGGAGGTATTTGAAACTATACAAAGAATGAAAGTGTGTCTTTGCAAGGAACAAGGTCACATGTGCACACGCGCTGCGAAGGACTTCCTCTATACCTCCTTCTCCCTCAATACCTCGCTGAGAATGACACTGTTGTTAGGGACCCTGTCGCAAAAACGACAACCGTGAAGGAAAAGCCCTGGGCAAATGAAGTTGTTCTTTAGGTTGTAGGAGTTACGAAATGTGTTTACTACAATGCAGCTTCTGTCAACTGGTCATGATCATATAACACCTTCCAATCGATTCTGCAACTTCGAGTGCATGGCCTACACCCAGACAAAATCGGATGGTGACGATTGCCCCTTTTGTTATTGCTTATGTTGAAGAATGTATTCTAGATTTCCGAGCGTTGCCAACGAATTGCAAATGCAATGGTGAAGAAGGGCGCGGATTTTCGGAGCGGCCGAGAATCATCCTCGATAGA